CCCCAAAACCCCAAAACCCCAAAACCCCTTCATTTCTAAATACATCTAATAAGTGGTAATTCATTTTGCAGAAGTATCAAAATTAATAGAATTTTTAACTCTGTCAATAGCAGTTAGTATATTCTTCTATACTTTATCATTCACCATATTGTTATAATAATCAAAATTTTTCTATTTTACTTGCTTTATCCTGTTTAATGAGTCATTGTTTTAATTGAAAATTGAGGAATTCAAGAAGTTCTAATGCTTATCAATCTAATAAAGCGTGTGCATTCCGGATGAATCTTGAGAATTTATGCGGCCTGAAGAATTCACAGTCTTAATTGTATTGCCAGTCTCAACTGTATTTCTGAGTGAATCCTCTAATTTATGCAAAGTTGCATTGTTTTTTACCCTTTGAATCTAGAGGTTTGAATAGAGATTTTTATTAATATGCTTTTGTTAGCTTTTACTAGTGAATTACCCTGGCAGTAATTATCTGTGCTGAATTGAATTAGCTCCTACCTCAAAATTCTGATAGTTTTTAGTTGATTAATTATATTGCGGATGAGATATCTCTAAATTTTTCAAAGTCTGGATTTCTTCAAGCTTGCCATTCTCTTATTGTGTACTATTTTTATCTACATATTCATGATATATATCTCTCAATATTTCATCTTTCCTTTTTCTTCTTCTCATGTTGTTAATTTTCCAGTTTTGATAGGAATGAATATCAATTTTCTAGGGTTTTTGTATCTGCCTATGAGATATTATTTACTACGGAGGAGATAGATGCATTTTGTTAATAAACATTGAGTAGTTTTGGTTGTTAATATTGTTTACATTGTTGCTTAACTTGTCTCTGCTAGTAATGTTTTGATAAATATTCGTTTAGTCTAAGCTGTTTATCATTGTTGCATTGATTGCTGTATTAATCTACTTTACCTCATGATTTTTAATAGATTAAACTAGAGGTTCTTATTCTCTCAAATTTTTCATTTTCACATCTACTTTGATACTCATATTTAAGTTAGTTACTCCTGAAGAACCCTTAAATGATCCTGTGCTCTCCTTAAAACTATCTTTTCTTTATTTTGCATTTTTATTACGTTTTGAATTCTATTGCTTGTGTTCAAGTCTAGTCTCTAGTTTTTTATTTTATTTTTTTAGTCTATTAATAAGTTTTTCTAAATCTTGCTCATCATCTGTCCCTTTACTATTAACTGATCTGGAATCATCACTAATTCTTAATCTTGATTCTAGTACTCTATTTGAAACTTAGCTATCATTATTTCTATGGGCAGAAGGAAGAATATGGTTATATTTCTAGACATTTTGCTAAGACTCAACTACTCTTAAGCAATCTCAAAGTTACTTCTTTGAGTCATTCAAATCAAATGATCCATTTGAGTCTTTTTAATTGGTGAAGCCAATAAAGCTATAGTTTTATTTTTTAAGATGAAGAAGATTTGCAAACCTTTTCTAAATGTCTTTAAGAACTTAATTCTTTTTCTGCTATTAATAGCCATTGATAATTTTAATAGCACTTGGACTCTTATTTTTAATCGTACTAATATTTTCAGGGGAATATGAGGTTTCATGTTAGAGATCATAAGTAGATTCAAATTACTAATGAATTTTGTCAACAACTAGCTTGAAATTATTTGTATTACCATTTTTACCTATTGAAGTGTTTGAGATGCTGGTGATCATTAATGGGTTGAGAAGAGCCTTCTTTTTATTATGGTTTGAATATATCTCATGAGGTGATTTATCCAGAGCATTTAAAATTAAAGCATTTTTCTGGACTAATTAGGACTTATTAGATCAGTATGGGGACATTGTCCTATTACTGATGTTAGATGACTTAAGATGGCTTTAGCTTTCATACAAACTCTCATTAAGATTGCGTTTTTTAATAGCCTAGTGTGAGTACTATTGTTGTATCTGATGCTACTACTATTATAAGTCTATATTTGGTTGTGATGAATCCTCTGTTTGTAACAAGGATTCTTAGTAATGCATCTAATTATGATAATAGTTATTTATGGGCGTTTTCAAATCGATATGTTTTATAAATAGATTATCCTAGATATTGCAGTTTGGAGTCTGTTTTTGGCTAATTAATCTGTTTACAGATTTACAAGACCTTTAATCTAAATTTTGCAAAGCTTACTGTGAAGTAGATAATTGTTCTTAAATGTTGTTTTTTGTTGTGATTACATCAGTATTATGATTAGATTATCATTACTTCTGAATGATATCTTTGCCTCTTTTAAGGAAAAACTTGCCCTTAAAGTTTAGTGCCCTTAATAGCATGTCTTTTTGCTTTTTCTATTCTATCGAATTCTATTTATATATTTGATTTCGATATGTTTCTTGACCTGACGGAGAATGATGAAATTTCTTTGGCTTATCAAAAAACTCCTTTGGTAAGTCTTTATTCATTTTATTAAACATTAATAATTCTCCCCTTAATGAAGTAATAATTTAAGCCTATGGGGTTTTGGGGTTTTGGGG